TTCTGTTTCTTTAGCATTTACTCCAAATATGGCTCAAAGTGTGAAGTGTTGCTGCACCTGATACTCGTGTACAGCTCGTACTGCAAAACCTGGAAGGGCCTTGCACAGCGTTTACAGAGAACGAACACATCTCCGCAACCTCTTCCTTTCCAGGAATCAGGATTTAGACTCCCGTCTTGTGCAAACCGGAAACCGGAGGCGGCAGACGTCCAGCCGTGTCTTGTCAAATCTCAGCTTCTCGACTACTTTATAATGTATGGCTGCACTTCAAAGATTCAAACTCCTGCGCTAGGTGTGACCCCCGAAAAACAAGAACAAACTGCTTAGTCACTCAGGGTGACGGCACGTATGGCGCTGGGGCTCGGCAAGAACCTGCCCACACTGTGACCCCAAAACCTACCGAGCGCAGCAGCGCCTGGTCTGGCGTCGCCGGGCTCTGGAGCCTGCAAAGGCATCCGCCGAACTCGGTTCACTCAAACTCCGAGGGTTTAAAAACAACAAAAACTGGTAAATTGCGTTGCAGGCAACGACATGTTCGGAGGCGGCTGGCTTACTACTACAAAACCAGTCGACTTCGGAATAATGTAATGGCCTCTAGGGTATACACAGTGGAAATTGTCTTTATCGACAAAACTGTTTTCACATCGGATTCCAATTAAAACTGCCATTTATTCTTCTGATTGAATAAAAAAAAACTGCAGTTAATGAGAAATAATACAATTTCGCCTTTCAGTAATCACGGTATTTAATGTCCCAGTAACGCACACCCATTGAGGTAACAACTACCCAGCTAGACTGGAGAATCTAGCTAGTTACCCAAAACAAAAGGAGACGTTTTATTTGAAAACCCAGATTTTTAACGTACTTTCCCCTGAACAGCTCGCTTCGTATAAACGTGTACAATATCAAAAATATACCAGTAGATACCACACGCAATGTAATGGGATAACGCCTTGTCAGTTGGAAAAAAATAAACAAAATACTACAATTAAACACTACGAGTGGCGTATGATTTCGTGTTAATAGGTATATTTTCGACCACAGCAGAATCTTTACTGGGAGAAATGGTCACTGCAAGTGGAAGGGCATCTAGGCCACAGAGCGCGCCGGGCCGCTTTCCTATTTCCCCGATCCCGGGATGCGACCGCCATCTCCGGTCACCCTCTCCCATCCCAGTGCCTCTTCCCTCCCCGAGTTGCCAAACACCAGCTGCTAACAACGCCTTTTAAAAAACAAAATCTTACCCGGCGCGCTGCAGTCGGCGCAGACCTCGCTTCTTTGCACTTTCCTGGACATTGTGTCCAATGGTGTTGAAATGTTGTTATTTTAGTCGCCTTTCCGTTCCCCGGGCTGAAAAAGGCTGGACTGCCGCTTCCCTGCTCCCGAATCGCCCGGAAGCCTCACAGCACGGAACAGGTTCCCCGGCCTCTGCCTGCGTGTGTGCGTTTCTCGCTCCCCAGTGCACAGAAATATCCCCGGTTTTCCTATATGGCGTCGGCGTACTGAGCAAGTGGGTTACAGGGGAAACTGGGATGATTGATTTCATTGAAAGGGAGGCGAGGGCAGTGTTCGTGCGTGGAAAAAGCGCAGCACTTTCCCCGGTTTTCCTGGCTTCCCTCTGCTTGCCGCTCTCCCCTCCTCCTCCGGCACCGTCGCTCTCAGTTCGCTCGTTATCGCAGCCAGGGGCTGCTCATCAGACCACAAAGTACAATGAGATCACTGCAAATATCGTCCACAGCCTCCCCGCTCCCCGGGGGCTCCTAACTGCACGGTGGGGTCCGCACACGGCAGCCCCTGTCCCTCTGTCTGCGCCTTCGCCTGCCTGTCCGTCCGTCCGTCAGTCAGTCTGAGCCGAATTTAGCGCGTCAATGATCGTTTTCCCTCGCTAGCATTGCGGACACGGCTTTGTCTTATTCCGAACACCCCTCTCTCCCCTCACCTATGCATGAATAATTCGACTTTAAGAAATTAAAAAAATAGACCCGTGCTTTCAGTTTTGCTTTCACCATAAGAATCAACGACAATCCAATGATATTTTCTTGCACCTGTTGCTCTTTGCGGTACTGCCGGCGTTGAGGTCGTGTTACAGCACGCCTGACCAGTCCCACCTAACAGCCCAGGAGCTCGCCTTTGGACGGTGGGAGGAAACCCACCGCAATGTGCGTGAACATGCGGAGTTGAACCCAGGATCAAGAGCTGCGAGGCACTAGCGCTAACCGCCGAGTCACCAATAAACCGTCAAGCAACTCCCATTAAAAACAGACACCTGCGATTAACTACGTAGGCAGCTACTGTAGTTTCAAATGTAGCCCCGTCTGGGAGGAACCTGCATGTTTCCCTGCGTCTTGACGTAGAGTCGAAAAAGTCGCTGTATTTAATCGTGAAGCGCTGGAAACACAGCGGTGTCCAAGACCTTCGGGAGTATCAAGAGGCGGTGGTAATTCAGCCGTTTATAAACACCAAATAAATTAAGAACGGTTACAAACGAGAAGACCATCTAGATAATTGGTTTTCAGTAGCTAATTGATCCAAAGGTCTCATCCAGCTACTTCTTGGAAAAAGCCTGGATATCAGCAGCATATAGCTTCCATCAGAATCCCCCAAGCCTATAAAAATGTCTCCTCTTTTCAGTTTCAAACGCGCTTCCACTTAATTTGGACTTGTGTGCTCCGGTGTTAAAGAGATGATATCGAAGAATTCCTTCAAAGTCGTGCGCACTTTCCCTCGGTCGAAAAGGCTTCTCCGAGGTTTGTCAGGAATACCCCTGAAAGCTGGTTTGTCCTCAAGTGTTTTCTGTTTTCTTCACGGGTTTTGTCCAGATGATCCACGACATTGGACCTCAAGTGAGACTCAGAAGCCCTTAGATTCCGAGACACTCAAAATAAGTGCGGTAACATGCACTTAATGTTGCAGTAGAAGATCAAAGATATTACCCTCTGGGCCGGAAAGCGGTTTTTCAAACACTTAAAAGGACGTCTTTAAGACGTTAGATATCCCATAGCACTGTGATAAACCACAAGCTTGGTTAGCATTTTACTTTGGTCCGGGGAGACCAGACATTTGGACCGGGCAAAAGCGTAAACAGCGCGCTGGAACAAAGATTTCGCCTGTGAGCTCGTCTCGAGGGGCTTTGAAGTCGATCCATGAGGAATTACTGAGTGTCCTGGCCTGGCCCTGGCCTGTCCTTCAAGCAGACTGGCCGCCAGACGGATGAGATCCCCCAGGAGCGGCGTGGAGAGACAGCGCCCCCTCTGGCCCCTCTGGCCTAGAGCCCCTCATGGGGGTACCCGGGGGGTCGTCCTGCCCCACCGGCGACCACATTAACAAAGCAGCTACTTATGAAAAGAGAAATTAAACTGCAGAGACAACTGATTCTTGTGTTTATAACTATGCTCCCTTGACTAGTCTCACCTGCGTCGTTTTGTTCTAGAAAGCGAAGAATGGAAACGGGAATGTCCTTCTGATCGGATCCGCGCGTGTGATTGTGACTGGCGGCACCGCCCTAGCGTCCTCAGCCCCGAAAGGCGCTATATACACGCAGGCTGCTGCCACGGCGGAGTCCACGTCCACACCATGTTGCAAGCCCGGCGTCTCGAGCCGCGTGTTCAATTTGACGCGTCAACATTTGGACACGGTCCTCACGACCGACTCGCCCGGGTCTGCTCGGTCAGCCCGAAATAAAACACACACACACACACACACACGGGCTGGCGGGCGGTGAGCCCTGCACACTCACTCACACTCACACACTCACACACACACACGCGAGCCTGCGGGCGGTGAGCCCTGCACACTCACACACACACACGGGCTGGCGGGCGGTGAGACCTGCACACTCACTCACACTCACACACTCACACACACACGCGAGCCTGCGGGCGGTGAGCCCTGCACACTCACTCACACTCACACGCACTCACACTCATTCACACACACACGCGGGCTGGCGGGCGGTGAGCCCTGCACACTCACTCACACTCACACACACTCACACACACACACACGCGAGCCTGCGGGCGGTG